CAGTGGATTTTAGAAAATACTTTGAAATGAATGGAGGCAAAAACAAACAATATACCAAAATGTATGGGATGCAGCTAAAGCAGTGTTTAGAGGGACGTCTACAGCTTTAAACACCTATATTAAGAAAGAAGAAAGTTCTCAATTCAATAAGCTAAATGCCCTACATTAAGAATTTAGAAAAAAAGAGTAAACTAAATGCAAAGCAAGCAGAAATAAGGATGTAATGAGGAATAGATCTGAAATAAGTGCAGCAGAAAATAGAAAACAAATAAACCAAAAGTTGGTTTTCTGAAAAGATAAAGTTGACAAACTTTGAGCTTGACTGACCAGGAAATAGAAGATTCAGATTACCAATTTAAGTAATGATAGGGAAGGGACAATTTTGCTGAATTTATGGAAGTAACAAAAATATAATACTATGAATAGATATGTGGCAACAAATTAGAACCTAGTTGAAATGGAGAAATTCTTAGACACAAAACAATCAATACTGACTCCAGAAGAAACACAAAATCCGAATAGGGTTGTAGCAAAGAAAGAGATTGAATTAGTAATAAGAAAAACTTCCTACAAAAAAAAACCAAGGACCAGTAAATTCACTGCTGTATTCTTCCAAATACTTAAAGAAAATATAATACCAATATTTCAAAAAATAGGGTATGTTGCCACCTTAACTAGGTTATCTTTTATCTTATTTTGTAGGGCATATGGATACACGGTCCAACAAAATTCTAGCAAATGGTATCTAGCAACAGATAAAAAGTATTACACACCAGGACCTACTGGAATTTACCTAGGAATGCAAAATTGATTCAGCTTAGGAAAATCTGTGTAATAGACCACATTAATAAAAGATAAAAATCTCCTGATCACCCTCATAGACACAAAAACATTTGATACAAACTGACACTTATTCATGGTGAGAACCTGAACAAACTAGAAATGGAAGGGAACTTTCTCAGCCTGATAAGGAAATCTGTGACAGACCTAAAGCTTACATCATACTTCATGGTGAAAGACTGAATGCTTTGCTTTCCTCCCTAAAATCAGGAACAAGACAAGATGTCTACTTTTACCACTTCTATTCAGCATTGTCCTGGAGGTTCTGACTAGGGCAGTCAGGCAAGAAAAAGAAACAAAAGACTTTCAAATTTGAAAGGAAGCAACTATTTTGGTCACAACTGACATGATGTTATATGTAGAACATCTAAGAAATCTACAAAAAATAAAGCTAATAAGTGGGGATGGCACAGTGGCAGGGCACACAATTATTATGCAAAAATCAGTTGCATTTCTATACTGTAGCAATGAACAAACTGCACATACAATAAAATTAGATTGGTACTCCATTTACAAGAACACCAACAAGAATAAAATATGTATGACTAAATTCAACAAAAGAGTTGCAAGACTTGTCAACCACAAAACACTGTTGAAAAAACTTGAAGAATACCTGAGTAAATGAGGCCAGATGTAGTCGTTCACACCTTTATCCCAGCACTTTGGGAGACCTAAGTGGGAGGATAGTTTAAGGCCAGGAGCTCAAGAGCAGCCTGGGCTACATAGTGAGACCTCATTTCCACTTAAAAAAAAAACCAAAAAACCCTGCATAAATGGAAAGATACCCTGTGTTCATGCATTAGAAGATTTAACCTAGTTAAGGTGGCAGCATACCCCAACTTTATCAACTGATTCAATGCAGTCCCTCCTCAGCCTCCCACAGTGTTGAGATTACAGGCATGAACCACCACATCCAGCCTAGCTGTATTATTTCATTTAGTTTAAGAACAAGGTAAGGCATGAGGGGACACCCAGAAAACGGGAACTATCTTTTGGAGGGTGGATCCTTTATAGTACAGGCTTCTTTTGCTACTAAGTTGTCTAGGAACCTATTGACATCAGTGTATTAGCTTTGGTATGAGAGGTTGAATTCAGCTTCAGTGATTTTTTTCTTTTTTAAGATTCTTTCAACACATTTGCCTGTTTCATGAAGGATGATTTACGAGTGCACCTGCCCATACTACACTGAGTGTTCAGCAGTTTTTGACCAAAACTGACATGACCCCTGTGCCCATCCTCCCTATTCACCTGATCTTGCCCTGAGCGACTTTTTTGTGTTTCTTTGAATGGAAAAAAAAATTCTCAAAGGGAAATGGTTAACTGATGTGTAAGAGGTGAAAAAAAAAAAAAAATTAACACAAGAACTTCAAAGGCTTCAAAACTGATAAGTTCAAAACTTTTGAGCAGTGGAAAAAGCATCTCGATAAGCTGCATCCAACGGAGAGTACTTTGAAGGTCCCTGAAGTTTAAACATATAAGAATAAATGCAACATTTTTTACAAATAAATTCTGTTTTGGGGGTGTTGCCCTTGTACAGTGACATAAATCAGAACTTGATTCATTCTGGTGAGGTGAGGGACAAGGGTGGTATTGATAGGAATTGAGGATAAAATAATTTACTGGGTTGATATAAATGTTCTATATGTTGAGTCAGGTGTGTATAAATGTTTGTTTATACTCAAACCGATACTTAAAACTGATAATTTAAGATCAGTAGATTTTACTGTTTGTGAAATACATTCTTAAAAAATGGCCCTAAGGCCTGAGGGTTGGCATTACAGAAACTATTAAAGGGTCAGAGAGATGACCTCAGGTCTTCACTGATATTTTGGAGCTGGAATTGAGCCCCATTTACATGGTCCAGGAGCTTCAAAAAACGGAGACTTTTCTGTCACTGAAAAGATAATGAAAAATTCTCTCCACTGGCCTTGGATAGGAGAAACAGGATGAACCTTAACAGTTGGTGTTAGATCTTAGATAAGGTTTAGAAAAAAAAGTTACCTTTAAAAAAATGAATGCCTCATACCTGTGTCATTGATAAATATGGAATCTGAATTTATACTGTGCATTTTGTACATAATCTTAAACTAAGAAATTATCATCAAACCTAGACCAGGAACTAGCATAAGCAATTGCAAAATAAACCTCTTTTAAGAGTTGATGAGATTTCTTAGAAAATTACTCCCTTTGAAGAGATAAACAATCCTAGGAAACAAATCACTTTGATGAGGAGTTAGTATACACAACAAACAAGGGAAATATTACTTTAGGATTTAGAAATAGTATTACCATCTCAAAAATAATGTTCAAAATGCTTAACAGTAAAAAGGCATAGAAAGCAGAATGAAAGAACAGGATAGAGGATTAAAAGAACTAATCTAAGCACGGTGGTGAGACACGAAGCGGTCACTGATACAAGAGTACCTAGTATCTACATGGCCACAGTTAATTAGATCAAATGCAAAGTAGAGTATGGCAGCTGCAATAATGTTGAATGATTTCATAAAATTCTGAACTCTTACATAAGATACTTTTTTACATAATTTTCTTGAATTATTTCTGACTAGCACATTATCAAATTAGCTGTTGAAGAATGTGATAGTTAAGTGATAACATCTTAAATTTACAATTTGGGTGGAGTTTGAGTAAAACTCACTGGGTGTTTTTTTCTCAACTGGTCCTCCTCAACTGATTGCCTAACCAAGTGCAGAGTAGTCTGATGCCTAAGTATTCTTTCTCCAAGCTACCTATCAAGGGGTGACTACTGGTAATAATAAGAACAGAATATTTTTATCAAGATGTTTTTTGAGTAAGAAATGATGGTAAGCTTGGTTATACTTCTCTTTTTGAAATATTTACAACTATTGGCTCTCTATATTGAGCTCATGTTATAGTATTTTACTAGCTTAGTTACTTATTAGATATGAAAAAATTTCAAATTCATTTTTTTAACCCTGTTTTTATGTATAGTATTATCTGATTCATGATATTATAAGATTCCCTCTCCTTTGAGATATATAGATATAGATATAGATATAGATACCTATTTTCTGGATATAGAAATCTAGTTTAAGGAATTAGACTAAAACATACTCTACAAAACTCTTTGAATTACTCTGCCTCTGTTTAACTTTTTAAATGATTCTACCTTGAGAATTCATAGATTGTTCTCTTGTATGTCACTCCCAGTTATATGGTAAAATGTACTAACAGAACTTTTGCTGATAATGTGTTGCTTAATTTGCTTCTATCTACTATTAAATTAGGCATTTTTTTTTTAAAAGACAAGCTTATTTAGATTTGAATATTATGCCCTAACTCTAGAGGTGATCTCTGAGTAAATGATATACAGCTACCCCAAAGCCTGGAAACCCTGTATTCTCTTTTAAATTCACTTATTGCTAATATTTGTGGTACTCACCAACCGCCCCCTTTATTGCTCAAGTAATTTAAGCACTAATCTGAGGCTTTGATCTTTACTTGAATGTGTTCTCTTCCCTCTCTCATGGGTAGCTGATTTGTCTGTTACACTTTCCTAAGAAGTGATAGTGAGGTTCAGACTCTCCGCTTTAGTTTTAAATTTATGAACACAGAAATGCTGCTGGGTTTTCCTCCTCTATTGTGCTTTTCTTCACACTTTCATCTTTGGTACACTTGTTGGAATTCCTACAAGTGTGGTCAATTGCAGGACTTGTAAAAGACTTGTTTAACTTTCAGTAGATTGTTTTGGGTATACTTCTCTTTGGGGTTTCATCAGTGTTCCTTGCAGTGTTGCCAATTATATGCTAATTATATTTGAATCCTGATAAAAATGAGCCTATAAAAAAAAACTAGATCAAAGAAATCGTTTTTAAAATTTTGCTAATATTTTAATTTATAAATTTTTAGTATGGTGTTAACTCACAATACTTTGAGTATTGAAAAAGGACACTTTGAATCCCTGAAAAAGACCTTTGTTGTTTCCTGCTATTTTTATGTAGTTTCCTCGAATTGATTAGAAAAATCATTCACATTTAACTTCTATTATTTGATACATTTTTAAATACTCTTAAGATAGTTGGCAGCATTGTCTTTGATTCTCTATTGGTTTGGGCTTATATAATATCTTCTTCTTTTTTCCATTTTTTTTCTTTTTTTTTTCTTTTTTTTTGCTTCCTAAGGACATGATGATACAGCGCCATGTGCAATTTTGAAAAGTATGGATAGTTTTAGCTTTCTCCAACACCCAGTCCACCAGAGGAGCTTAGAGATTCTGCAGAGATGCAAGGAAGAGAAGTACAGTAAGGCTATAAATCTTGATAAATTCTGTGTTATCACATATCCATTTGGAAATGGAAACCAGGAGCATCCTACACCAGGGTGGGACATAGATGGTATAGGCAGCTTGACCTCCGTTAATTTCTGAGCAGTCCCTGGCTATTTCTATTGAATCTTTAGATCTTTCTCTTGAAAATGTTGATAAACCTGTTCTTTTAACTTTGGTGATCATTCTATTTGCCTATGATCATTGAGTAGTTAATTATACTTGGTTACAGTCACTATATTAGTCTCCATTTGTATTTCAAGTAGCCAAGTGATGGGTAGGAATGAGCAATGCTTTTTTTTCCTGCTCATTTTTTAAGGCTTTATTGAGGTTAATTGAAGAAAAAAACTGCATGCAAAGAGAACAGTTTGGTAAGTTTTTATATATGTGGGCACCCATGAAATTATCTCCGCAGTCAAGATGATATATTCAGCACTTCCAAATGTTTCCTCATACCTCGTTCTAAATCTGACTGATTTTTATGCTTGCTTATGCTGGAATTTCAGCATTAGCAATGTTGCTTTTGTATATCATTGGTAAATCCCCTTAGTCTGATTGCAGTCCTTCAACCAGCCTTTCCTTTGTCTCTTTAAGAGCAAAACCACCACATTAATGTTTGGGCTTAAGGAAGAATAACAGAATCATGGTGCTTGTTCTTTTTTGTTTGCTTTTAATTTTCATGTTTGCTTTTTTAAATAAAATTGGTGTAAAAAGATGCCCTTGGTCTCCATTTCCTCCCTTGCTCTTTATTTATTGTACTCATTCTGCATGAAAATTGGTTCTTTTGCCTGTTGTGAGATTATAATTATTGGGTTACTGCTATTGTGAAAATAAATGAATCCCTCAGAATACTCAAAGCCTGACTCAGCAATTTGCGTATGATGGACCTAAATTACTTATGTAATTCATTCTGAATTTTTAATTTTAATTTTTAATAAATTACCATTAGTTTGTTAATTTCACAGTTTTGGATTGAAAATTCCATGAAATTTTAGTATCCAATTGTCAGTGAAAGGAGAATATTAGTAGGATTTCTAGTATTAGTAGAATATTAGTAGAATTATTTTTTCAGTTCCTCTTTTTGCTCTTTTGGTATAAGAAAATGTATAATGTATTTTGAAAAAATATTAAAAATGTATTCTCATTTTAGAAAGAACAAAGGTAAGTATTTCATTTAATAAAGCATCCTTAACCATTATTCTTTTTTTATAAATTTTATTTTAAGGATGTGGGTACAATTCAGGCTAGGTATATAAATGGTCATTGTACAGGTAAAGTTTGGACCTCTCTTTGGTCCCCACTTTGCCTGGTTTGAGATCAGGTACCCTTACTGATGTTGTGTCCCTTCCTCCTGACCCCGGCAGTATCTCACTGCTGCCAATCCCTTTCTTATAGTATTATGGTAAATGTTCAGGTTCCGCTTATGAGTGAGAACATAAACATTATTAATTATTGCTATTGTTTCTAAAAGGTATACAACAAATCCTCATTCTGATAGTCTTCCTATTATAAGTCTCTTAATCCATCGGACATTATTTTAAACAGTCTATGAATATTTTTTAGAAGTTTAAATTAATTATTACCACAGGTAGGTGCAAGTGGCTTATTTGCTTTGTTTTTTTCATGATTCTCAGTCTGACAACCTCAGATCTGATTGTATTCTAGCTGTATGTAAGTCCAGAATAGAAAGGTACCAATTTTAACTAAGTCTCCATGAAGAAATTGTGCATTTATGTGTGTTCACATTGGGGCTTTTCCTTTCTTTTATGTAATTTGTTTCATTTTCTACTGTAGTATTAGCAATATACTAGTTATACAAATATATTAAATTATAAATTTTATAATATGTAAAATTATAAATTCAAGTTAAGGAGATGGTAGTTTTGTATTGCTTTGTTTTGTTTTAGACCATTGTGATAGTGTCGGAGTTTGTTCTTAAAAAACCAGAGGACTGCCAGCTTTAGGTAATGGTGTGTTGGTGAGGTAAATGAACCCTCTCAACGTGTAACAATGATAAAACTTATAAATAACTAAGTATTTCATAGTACTGGAAAAAGACAACAAGTAGGCAGAAAGCAGATAAAAATTTATTCCTTAAAGTATTTAAAACAATAGGTAAGAATTGTGAGTCTGTACCTTTTTTACAAGGAGTTCCCCAAGTCCCATAACTCCAGAAATAGAAAACCACAACCATACTGGCTTAAAGTATTAGAGGACAAAGTTGAAGATTGTAATAACAACTGGAAATTTAGGAGGAGAGTCCTGGAACTGAGAGAGCTGCTAAAAATTTAGAGTATGAACTCTGCCTACATCCTCAGCTGCCTGCCGTATGCAGGCAATTCCCCAAGAACCCTGTCAGAAAAGCAGTGGAAACCAAATAGAAGATAACTCTTGAAAGACAAAATTGCAGTAGGTACAAGTTTATTGTCTTTTGACTGAGGGAATTTTCTACTTGTGTATATACTTGTATAGGAGAATGTTGAAATCTGCCTTAATTGAAGGTCCCACAGAAGATGAGAGATAAAGGGGCAGAAAATTATTTGAAGAGATAATAGCAGAAAACCTTCCATATTTGGTTATAAAAACGCTAGCTTACAGATCCAGTAAAATCAGTGACCACCAACAGAATAAATATAAAAGAAAACCACACCTAGGCACATTATAGGCAAATTGCTGAATGTCAAAGGTTAAAGAGAAAATCTTGAAAGCAGCCCAGAAAAAGTATGGCATATTAAATGCAGAGGAATAATATTATTAACACCTGGCTTCTCAGTAAATATAATGGAGATGAAAAGATATTCAAAGTAGTATTTAAAATGTCAAAAAAAACCCCGAAAAAATAAAAATAACTTTCAGCTAGATTTTCTGTATTTGCATTTTTTTTCCAGACGAGTTAACTGTCCAAGTGACTAACAATCTTCAGAAGAACATACCAGCATCTAGTGTTGCTATGATGTATTATTATTATCCATAATATTCAAATATCATTTAGCAAAAGTATTCTTCAAAAGTGAAGGCTAAGTAAAGGCATTTTCAGATAACCAGAATCTGAGAGAATTTGTCACCATAACATGTACTATATGAGAAATGATAATAGAAGTTCTACAGACTAAAGGGAAATTATTCTATAATGGTAACTTGGATCTATAGTAGGAATTGACATACTTTTTCTGCAAAGGGCAAATAGTAAATATTTTAGACATTGTGGGCCAGTATTTTTTCTATTGAAACCATTCTACTCTTCTGTGAATGGAGCATTAGACAATACATAAATAAATGAATATGGGTACATTCCAGTAAAACTTAATTATGCACTGATAGTTACATTTCATTTGTTTTTCACATTATAAAAATGATTTTTTTTTTCAATTATTAAAAAAAAAAATGATGCCAGGCACAGTGGCTCATGCCTGTAATCCTAGTACTTTGGGACGTGTAGGCAAGAGAATTGCCTGAGCCCAGGGATTTGAGACCAGTCTGGGCAACTTTGCGAGACTTCATCTCTACAATAAATCAAGAAAAATCAGCCAGGTGTGGTGGCGTACCCCTGTAGTTTCAGCTACTTGGAAGACTGTGTCAGAAGGATCGCCTGAGCCCAGCAGGTCAAGGCTGCAGTGACTGTGAGTGTGCCGCTGCACTCAGCCTGGGCAACAGAGTGAGACTCCAACTCAAAAAAAAAAAGAATGAACCATTCTTAGTTCCCAGGTCATACAAAAACAAGCAGTGGGATTTGATATGGGTGGGCTCTGGACTTTAATTTGCTTATCTGTGAATTAATGCAAGGAATGAAGAAGCCATAAATAATAATTATGTATAAAATATAGATGACTACACATATTTTCTTTCCTTCTCTAAATTTCTTTTAAAATATATTTGATACTCCTCCCTTCAAAAACCATGTGCTGTACATAGTGAATTGCTTCTGACAAACTAATGTGGCAGAATAACAGTGTGTGATCTTCGAGATTAAGACATCAAAGGTATTGTGGATCTTCCTCCTCCTTTCTGTTTCTGGTGCTCCTGCTTTCTCCACACTGGCTCTTCTCTGACAAGTGGCAGAGAAGAAATTAGAGAAATGGGAAGAAATTGAGGTTTTGGGGGGCAAGAGCTACACAGTTCCACCTCTAGAAATGTCAGGAGCCCTGGAAAGAAGAAACAATCAGATGGTGGAAGGAGGTCAGGGGTGGAATAGAAGAATCTCACTTAAGTTTGAACCCATGCTTCTGGCCTTTAGAACAATTGAGAATGTGATATTCATCAACAAGATGAAGGATCAGCAATTACCAGGGCTGTGGGCTTCCTCCACCTCAGTACCCTCACCTTACTGACAGTGCCTACTTTATTTATTTGTTTATTTTTTTGAGTTGGAGTCTCACTCTGTCGCCCAGACTGGAGTGCAGTGGCTGCTCCCGGCCACCACAGCCTCCACCTGCTGGGTTCCGGCAATCCTTCCGCCTCAGCCTTCCAAGTTGCTGGAACTACAGGTGTGCGCTACCATGCCCGGCTAATTTTTGACTTATTGTAGAGGTGAGGTCTCGCCAAGTTGCCCAGGCGGGTCTCAAACCTGCGGACTCAGGCAATCCACTCACCTCAGCCTCCCTAAGGTGCGGGGTTACAGGCTGAGCCACCGAGCCCAGTGCCTACTTTAATATCCCTGATTCTCAGGTATCTTTGTGACCATACAAACGATTGGAAATTTAAAGTGTATTATCTGACCAACATGAAATAAAAATAGAAATCAGTAACACATATCTGGGAAATCCTCAAATATTTGGGGGAAAATGTATTATGAGTCAAAGAAAAATTTATACAGGCAACTTGAAAGTATTGTGCTCTGATAATGTAAACAACATATTACAACTATGGAATACAACTAAAGTACTTAAAAGAAAACATGGCTTTAAAATCTTTTTTTATAACTTTATTTTATTATGGAGATGCTGGGTACAAGTCAGAATTGGATGCATAAGTAATCTACATGCAGGTGAAGTTTAGGCCTCCAATTGGTCCTTACTTCACCTGATTAGGAACAGGTATGCTTTGTGTTGTTACGTGCCCCTCTCCTTCCTCCACCTGGCAGTGTCCTGCAACTGCCTATCCCTCCCTGT